AAGATTCAGCTTTGTCTATTTTCCTCAAATGTATGTACATATTGCTTTTTCTGCTTTTAATGATTAGGCAATGTTGATGTTGGAAAGGACCTTCGGAGGCCCACGTTTTATAGATAAAGACCTTGCGTTACAAAAAGAAACAGTGACTCGTCCAAACTGTGTAACATCTTGGACGACTTTATTTTCCTAGCCTCGGGGAAGACGCCCGAGCCTTGGGATGAAGTACAGATTGAGAGGTTTGGTCACTGCAGCCCAGACTGGGCTGCAGTCCATTAACCCAAATGAGAAAAGTTCTGGCTCCTCTAAGCCTTTGAGCCTAAGGTAGGCACCAGCCTCCCGAGACAGCTCCGCCTTTCCTCCTCTGGGTCAAGGGTCTTTTTCCTCGTTTGTTTATGGAGGGCCTTGTACTGCTTATGAGGTCAGGGTTGTGTTCGATCCTGAAATGAGCTAGTTGGCTCCTCCAGATCCCAGATCCCAAGGTTTGGGGTGCAACAGCCCAGACTTGGCCTTATGGGCATCTCTCAAGAGCCTTTTCCTTCAAGGAACACTGGGCCAGAACGCTGTACGACCAGCAGCGAGGACAGGAGCATCATCTTTGATTTGCATGGGGGGCGGGGAGCTGTAGTTGCTGACACCTGTGACTAAATTTACATATTGGGGAGTGAGTTTGACGCCTCATTCTTTAAAAGGGCAAAATAAGGCAAGAGATACCATTCACATGAGCTTTTATTGCAACCTGGTTGGAAATAGAAGAGTATCAATCTGGAATTTTAAAACACCTCTACTGAAAACAAAAGTGTCCGTTTTTTTTCTAAGAAGCAAAATTTATTGTATTTATGATGTAACAAAGACATTGCCTGTGTTTTGGTGAGGGGGTGGGGGACAAAAAACCTCTTGGCTATGGTTGGAGTTTTCTGTCTGTTAATTTCTGGATTAAACAATTTCCATATTCAAGAAACTGAGGATGAAAACACAACAAAAAACACAACGATCTTTTTATTTATGTAAATCAGATCAACACTGGACAATAAACCAATTTCTACCCATTACCATAACAGCTTGTCTATAAAGAACAGAAAAATTCAGATAGGATTCTATCTAGGGTCAAGCGGTTTTGTTTTTTTTTAACCACCCATTCACAGAGGTATAGATTCACAGATAAATAATCCCAAACTACTTGCTCGCCATATTTACACATTCCCATTAAATTAAGCATAAATAAATATATACAAACTTAACATGGATACCCTCTTCTCCTGAAGAGTCAACAGATGGAAGTTATGTGGCAAAAACTATGTTAGTGAATTAGAGACCAACTCAGCAGAGGAGTCAATTTTGGCCTTTAAAGAATAGTTCTTGTTCCGCTTTTAGAAAAAAAACAAAATTAATTTTGGTATTCTTTTTTCTTCCTTCTCCCCTCTTCTCCCCCTTGATAATTTAACATACTTCAGCACAGGAGGGAAAACACTGTGTGGGCTCTTGAGGCAACTTCAGATGGTATAAGGTTATTTCCTTTCCATGTAATGTATTACCCTTCCAGGATATCAGACGTGATGACAAATTCTCCAAAAACACTCCAAATAGGAACACGTTGCCATGTTAAGTAAGGCTTTGTACCGGAGAGACAGTGTGTGGATAAGTTTGGGGTTTCAGGTTTTCCATTCGACCAACGTTTTCTTAGGATATGAAATAATTGCTTGAGAGAAAGTAGTTCCCCTGGCCAAAGAAAATAAAACAGCCCCCCAGTCTTTGAAAAGCCTTCTGGGTATGGAGCCAAAGAGGGGGAAAGTTCAAGATACTTGGGGCAGGGCAGGGGTGGGGTACCTTCCGAGTTTGGGGGAGAAGTTCAAGATCACTTTGAAATTGGATGCTCACCCAGAACCAGAACCAATACTTGGGAAACTCCCCTGAGACTCACAATTCCTATAGGAAGAGGCAGGTGGACAGAGAAGCGTCGGGACATCTTTAGAACCTCCAAAGGAACTTGCAAAGTGGAAGGTGTGAAGGACTGAGCACCCTGTGTCCTGACCGGTCCTTTCTGTCTTTAATGCTTTTGGTTTGGGACTGAACCTTAGGGAGGGGGCCCGGGGCCTGATAAAATTGCCCAAAGAGAGGAGGTGAGGGGAGAGAGCTGCAACTCACCTGTTTGGTTTGAAAACAAAACTCAAAAAAAAGCTCGCTTTAAAAAAGGCAAACTTTTGCGTTAATCCTGTTTATTGATTTATGGGCCTGAGGAAACCCAATCTTTTAATAATTCAATTATCAGATAAACATAGTGGGCCTGGCTAAGGGCAGCAAGGGGGTGGGGTCGTACAGGAAAGAAGTGAAAAAGGGCTAGGAAACCCTACTTGATGGGGTATAGGAGGGACTTGGGAATGAGAGCCAAGTAAGACCATTCCTATCCCATCACCTGCTTCTGGAGCCTGAGGATGGAGAGAGTTTTCATCTTAGCAAAGGTGGGGGGAGGATTTCCGGTTCCTTGGACAAGTCTAGGCCCTTTTGCCCTCCAGGAGCAGGCGCCCGGGGTAGCTGCTGGGAGCAAAGCGCTTAGGTGGTGCTGAGACCCCCTCCCCGCCTGCAGCCCCTGGGACGCCTCCCCGTTACCTACTGGAGAAGGGGGCTATCTCGGTCGCCTTAGCCCTTAAGATGAGACCGAGAGTGGGAAGGGCCCAGGCGGCCCGCGGCCCCTCCAGCGGCTGATTCTATGTCCTCAACACGACTGGGACCTGCACAGTAAGAGCAAGGCGCGTCCATCGCGTCTCTCGCACGTCACACGCGTGGGGCGCGTTGCCCTGCAAGGAAAGGAGACGATGGTGTTCAGTGTGCTTTCTCCCGGCCTCCGGCAATCAGAACACACCTACTTCTAGCGGCCAGGCCTCGGACCAAGGCCCAGGCCTCTGAGCTGGGGAGAGATGGAGTGCCTACAGTATGGCCTTGGCCGTGGTAACACCTTCCACTCTCCTAGGGCTGAGCCCCCCAAACGAGCTGGCAGTGTCACATTAACCCTTGCTTGGGCCTTCCTGGTGACCTGAAACCAGCTCCCTAACTCGTCACCTCCCCCATAAAAGTGTCTGCGCAAAGCTCTCAGCAGCTTCCTACCCCCAGCCCTTCAACCTTCCAAAGCCAAGACCCACCCGGTGGCAGAACTGAGCATCCCAGAGGGTCCTAACTGGGAAGCCCTTTATCTTCAAGGAATGTTGCCAAGGTCCTAAAGTCTACTTTGTATAAAGAGGTGCCTGTATGGACACTCAATTTGGAGAACTGCCTCACCCACCCCTCCTCAGGGGATTTCCTACCGCTTTGGGAGGGTGAGGGACCATGGGTTCCAGATCTTATTTCAAGATAATGCACAGACAAAACTCAAAAAAGGAGAGGGGCTGCCAGGAGTGAGAGATCTTAAATGCACAAAACTTTATCCACCAGAAATAGCCCCAGTATATCCAGACGCTGAAATATATTTCCTTTCACTTTGCATTATGTTACCATCATACACCAAAAACAAGTGCGCGTCTGGGAGGGGGAGCGTGCCTCATTCATAAAGCATCTTGTAAGAGAGCAATTGTCGCTAAAACATGGAAGCTTGCCCCACTCTTGTCCCCAGGACATTGCCAAAGCTGTTTCTCTGCCCGCTAAAATAACAATCGCCAAAGAGCCCAAGGGAAGGCAGGGTAATCTGGTTAAACTATTGGGCTCCGAGAACCCTTAACTCCTCTCCCCTAACATTCATTTTTGCAGTTCAGCCGTTCCACAGAATCCCGCGATGAGGTATCTGTTAGCAACTAGACTCAGAGCTGCTTCAGTCTCTTATTGGCCACTTTCTAAATTATTCCCTTTGAGCTTCTTTAAAGAAGTGCACCTGCAGAATTCTGACACACAGGCTTTGATTAAAGAGGGATCGGATTTTTTTTTTTCTCTGTACCTTATAGGTTGTGTAGGAAGCCCCAGTCCTCTTTGAAGAAGCTCATAAACCATGCGGGCAAAGCTTTGGAAAACAGAAGAGAATGAAATGGTACATACCCCTCCGAAGGAATGACATAACTAATCAACGTATTCATATTGTGGTATGGGCTTTTTGTTTGTTTGTTTTTACCATTAACAAATGCAAGATTCTCTGTATACCGATGCCAGCAAGGCTGGGAACTAGTAACATTTCTGAAAAGAACTGACGATGAGTCTGAATCAACCTATTGGTTTAGCTTTTTGCTCAGGGCGGGTACCAAAAGCTGCAGCCACGCTGCCTGCATCTCCGCTGGCATCCCACCCACCCTTCCTCTCCCTCCCTAAGCAGGCAAGTGGCTGGCCGGGTGCCACACCGGTGAGTTTGAAATTGGGGTGGGGGTGGGGGAATAGAGGGCCAGAGGGGCCTGAAACACAATGCAAAAAGGCCTAACCACACTCTTGTTCATCCAGGAAGATTCCTGTGCCAGCTGGAGGAAGGGAGGGAGGGCAGAGTAGAAAAGGGTAGTTGGGAGAGGGGCGAGGTGAGGTGAGGGGGGAAGGGTGGGGACTTCCAGACCGGTTTCCTAAAAAAATATTAAAAATGAAAAAGTTCGTGCGATTCAGTCAACCAGCTGTCAAAAGCACTAACACCGACAGTTTCTCCGACTTTCTTCCAATAAGTTAGCGTGTTCTCGTGTTTAGTCTTACGTTTATTTTTTCCAAGGGGGGTGTGGGGGGAGGGGAAACATGGTTTTCCTTTTATTATCAGTATGACTAAGCTCGAAAGAACCGAAGTGGAAAATCCGGATGGTTGTCTCCCAAGTGTTATCTTGAAATAGACACCGAGAACCGATCCTGTTGCTCCGTGGGACGCCTCGGCTTTTTAAGTTTACTTAGCTTTTCTGGCTTAATTTTGATTGCATATGTACTCTACCTAATATACTTCTTCCAAAGCCAATCCAGTATTTTAAAGCTAACATTATTTTTTTCCTCCTGTTTTCCTTTCGTATTTAAAACATTTTTTTTTCCTTTCTTTCTTTTTTTTTTTTTTTTTAAACGTTTCATTTCCTGTGTTTCTCCTCCTTGTCGCCAGTTTTACTACCTGGGCCTTCCCCAGACGTGTGCCTGTTAGTGGCGGTGTTGTTCAAGAACATCTTGTCCATGCCTTTGAGCGCCTCGGTGAGATAGTTCTGCAGGGCCGTGAGCGCCGCGCAAATGGCCGGGGCGCCGAAGCCGTGCGTGATGAGGCTGAAGTGCGTGAGGCAGCTCTGGATGCCCGGCTCCAGGATGGGGCTGGGCCGGCTGTTCCCAATCGGCGTCCGGTCCTGCGCCAGCAGATCTGTAAATTCTTTACAAAGTTGCCTGCGAAAGGGGTGGGAGAGGAGCAGGGGAAAAAGAAAAGAAAAAGAAAAAAAAGCACCCTTAGCGCCCGTTGTCATTGACATTAGGAAGGAGATGCTCACACAAGCCCAGAGGCGCCCGGTCACCGCAGAGCCAGCCGGGGAGCGAGGCTAATGTGAGCGATTCCGCTCTGTTTCCTTTCCCAGCGCTAGCTCTTGCAGAGCAGCTGGGACTGGGAAGAAAAGGGGTGGGGTGGGGAGAGATTATACACCCCTTGCATCCCACAGCCTATCCTCCCTCTCCCCACCCCCCAACCCCATCCCCTCCAGTCTTTTTTTCCCCCCCTTAGTTCCAGGACTGCATAGCTGTTTTGAGAAATCTGCTAGGTTTAGCGGACGGTTTTGAATATTCAGGAATTTTTAGCCCTCACCTGGCTGTTCTTTTAAAAACCCTCCCCTCCCCCTCCTTTCCCCTGCCTCTCCAACCTCTCGGTTATCAGGCTCAAAAAGCCCTGAAAGATTTAAGCCCCTGGGCCACAAGCCTGTCCCTGGCACAGAAGCAGATTGCTGGAGCCTTGCATGGCCCGGGGCAAGCAACTGTTTATGGCAGGAGAGAATGCTGATTCCGTTCAAAGCAAAAATCTGTTTACCTGCAGTGTTTAGAAAGGGAGGTATTTTTCCAGCTCCCCCACCACACACACACACTTTTTTCTTTCAAGTGTGGGTGACTGAAAACCTCTGTACAACACAATTGTCGTCGATATAAAAGGATTCCGACATTGTTTAAATAAAACCTAAAGGTAGATGGTTAAGACATGGGGAGGGGAAGATTCTTGTTTGTTGAAGATTTTTTTTTATTATTATTATTTCCTCAAGGCACCTACAATTTAGAGGAATTTCCCAGCCTTCAAAACCCTGTGGGCCTAACTCTAGATTAAGCTTATTTGAAAAGACTTTCATATAGGAGGTAGGCAGGGGATTTTGGCTTGGCTCTGCTGGCAGTCAGAGGCATGGCACCCAAAGGCCACAGCCTTTTACCCACTAGCAGGCTCATTCCATCAGCCTGCCTCCACCATATCTGGGGGGGGGGGGGGGGAAGGGGTTAGGCGAAGGGTAGTGAGAAATGCAAAAGGACAGAATTCCAGCCCCAGGCCCCCTTGGGTTAACCTGACACCTGGTGACACCTGGCCTGGCCAACAGGTAATGCAGGCAGGTACCTGGAGGCTAGTGGGAGTGACCCTGGGGCGTCCTTTCCCGGAGTGCCCCAGAAGGAGTAATGGCTCATCTGGATGGGAATACCTCCTTCCCTGCCCCACAGGAAAGGTTTTTTTGTTTGCTTGCTTGTTTGTTTGTTTGTTTGTTTCAAGGCTGGTGGCCAGAAAACACTGACAGACATCCTCTCTCGCCCCCTTCCTTCTGGTTTCTCCATTCAAAATGCACACATACATCCTCACACCAAAGAAGAAACATTGTACAGTTCTGACCTAAGTAGGGCAGTTCTTAAACCAGAGGTACCCCGGAAGCATCGTGGGGTTCAAATGAGCACTCATTGATTCCAATTCAGGGAATTGGACCTAGCTTTGGGCTAGGTTCACACACAAAAATATCTTGATACAATAAAGGGAAAAGAGACGAAGAAAATATCTTGATCAAGCTCCCAGATGGCTCTGAGACTCACCCCAGGTTAAGAAGTGCTGACCTAAGAGAAGCCACAAGGGGGAAGTTACAAGCATTCCTTAGGGACCGGACAGAGTGGTTTGTGGAATCCTGTCATCTAATTATACATTTGGTTTTATCCTCCCCCCCCCCAAAGTATCTTTACTCCTTTATAAAGCACCACTGGTCTCCTTCCCCCGCCACCAGACATTAGGCAAGGGGTAGGAGGGCAATTTACCGACAAAGATCTATTATATTGCTGCTGTTCTATCAGAGGAAACCCTTCTAAAAACAGGGTTCGGATCGTTGGAAGAGGTGGCTAAAGCCTTTCCTTCAGTTTGCACTCATTACCGAAGTGCCAATAAGGAAATTCTGAACTGGGGAGAACAAATGCTTAAAAGGCAAACATTTGAAATCTTCAAAGCCCAACCCGGGGTCTGCAAGCAATTAAAGTTCTGGGACATTAATATTTTTTGACCCTGCGGAAAGGGGCAATCAAATTCCAATCACGTCTCGAAAACATCTGGACAAATTTGAGCAAATGATTTTTCAGCCTTCCATATATTTCTTTAAATTACGCTGTCAACGGAGCGAGCCGCGTCCTCCAGCGCTAAATAAATGAGCGCCGCTGCCGGGGCCGCGCCTGCCCTGCGAGGGGGACGCAGCACCGCCCACCGCGGGGCCGGAGCCGGCCATAAAACACCAACAATATGACACGGAAGCCAAAGACGGGAGTAAATCAAATAAATAGAAAACCCACTGTAAAAGTTCAAATGAGCTCTAGACCTAAATTTAGCCCGAGATTTACTATTTTTCCCCTCTGGAGTTGTAGTAAATTGAGTCTGCGGATGATGCCAAACAGCAACGTTGGAAGCAGCGTGATTAGAGCTGTGGGTAGAGATGGGCACACGTGGGGGACATGCAGACACCAGGAGTGGGCACACGTGGCTGTGTGGGTATGACAGGGAGAGGTGAAACCCAGGCAGAGTTGGAGAACTCTGAAAAGCCTGGATTCAGAAGCCTAAAGCCACCGTCTCCTGAAACTTGGAAATAGACCAGACAGCGACTACCCCAAACCCACAGCCCATAATCAACCGGGGAGGGAGAAGGGGAGGGAGAAGGGGGAGTGCGGGCAGAGCGGGGAGGGCTTCCAAGCCTGCAATACACAGGCTGCCAACCAATCCCACTTCCATGGCTGAGCACTTTCTCAGCCCCCCAAGAAATGGAGGTCTGCACTGCCCGCCCCTCCCCTCCTCCCAAGCCAGGTGAAGCCAAGGGTTTGTGACACTCACTTGGTGGCCAGCAGCATATTCTTTCGAGAGTGCAGGTCGCTGGGGTCCGTGTGCTGCCGGTTCAAATACTCAGAAACAGCTTTGGCGGGAAACTCTGTTTCGCAGATGTAGCCAAAGTCCCGAGCTAAATGGACAGCTTCCCCTGGAAAAGCAGCAGCAGAGGTAATCATCAGCACCCGGCCGGCCTCTCATCCTGCCAGGGCAGGAGGGCTCCCTGGCCAATTCTGACTATGTACTGAAGAGGCCAGCTGCTGGGAGGCAAAAGCAAAGGTGTGACAGATGCCTGAAGTAAAAAGGAGTCTCAGGCTGTTAATTGACTTGATGGAACAAACTCTGCTCCTGCTTCTTTTTCCAGTCTCTTCCTGATTATCCTTCCAGCCAAATCCTAGCTACCGTGTTTCCCCGAAAATAAGACATCCTCCGAAAATAAGACCTAGCACGTGGAAAGTTAAGACATCCCCTTGAAAATAAGACCTAGCGCAACTTTGGGAGAAAAAATTAATGTAAGACACTGTCTTATTTTCGGGGAAACAGGGTAGATATTCCCTGAATAGCTTCAAGCCTCCCACACCTCATGCTCTGTCTTAAGAAAAAACAGGGCAGGTAGATTCAGAAGCCACTTTACAATTGCCCACAGACACTAGGTTGGATATTCAAGATAGATACTACTCTTCTTAGAAGGATGATACCACTCTAGATAAATATAAAAGTCTTCCTCTCTTTGGTGTTATCTTTTGTTTCTCCCTATACTTGTATTAGAAAAAGTTTCTTAATAATAACCAATATATACAAACACAAATCATGTGTGCAGATATCCACCTATATTAAAGATGTCCCATATGGAACATTAAAGATATATTCCATAAACATTTTATACATGAGTATTTCTATCCAGCAATGAAATATTTATTCTCCGTGTCTGTGTCTGTTTCCAGCTAGTTAGGTTTCAGGTTTCTCCTCTTTAGAGGTCCCTGTTATCATCCTCCTACTTAAGGGCTTTCTCTGCACAAGGGAGGCAGGGCAGCTATAGAAAACTTGGATGCCTGAGCCGTTCCAGCGTCTGTGGAAGCCCCTCTCAAACAAGGCATTATCACCCTTTAAAGCACAGCCTTAGGGGTTCGAGGGAAGATCCCAAACATGAAAAAGAAATAGGTTGAATTATCCCATAGCCACGTTATTATTAAGGGCCATGTCTTACTTTAATCATCATTATGACAGTAATAACAAAAGACCAGAAATGGTCCTTGCCACAACTCATAAAACTGAAAACTGCCAACCAAATATTGGGATTTCAGTTCCTCCCCTTTTCCATCCAAATCCCCATCTTGGGTTGAGATTACCGTGACTGCTTTTCAAAATGAGGGTTGTGATATTACCAATGCCCCGAAGGGCAGAAAGTAAAACCCCAGGCTGGGAGTCAACCACTAATAAATGTGGCCTGGCTGTTTGGTGAGGGTAAGTTTGGGCCAGGCAACTTTGACCTAAAGCTGGCAAAGTGCAGTGCCTATAAATGTGATGACTTTATGGTTCCTGCTTAAATAGTCTAAGATCCTGTCCTCCAGTTCCCCACATGAATGCCATAATATAATGCCCATGAAAATAGAAGAAAAAAACAGACATGTTAACCCCTAGACAAAATTCTACAACTTCCCCCATTAGGACCATCTGGATGTATTTCCTGTCCTTTCCTCATTATCCCACAAATTCAACAGCAGATCCTCTTGTTCTAGACTTCAGAAAATCCTTTTTATTATATACCATAAATATCATCCCCAACCCCAAAATGATGAGCAAATTATAATGTGTTCATTATAATTACGATCCTTCCATTCATAACTAAGGAATCTATATTGAACATCACATATGATTCTCTTCTATGTTTCCCCATGCCCCACCCAATTTTCTCCTAGGCCTTACTAAGCTGTAATTCAATCACAATAAGTCCCACGTAATCAATCAGCAGGAGTATAAGGCCCTGGGAGTTACATGAGTTTAAAATAACCATTAAGAATTATGAATGCAATAACAGTTTCATAACTAGACAATGTATTTGCTACTGCTTACTGATTCAGATGAAAAATCTGGGAAGGAGAAGGGGTATAGAATGGGTTGCTATTTACAGTGACTCTTGCCAGAGTTCAGAGGGTATTTCAGATGCTCTGTCCTGCATCTGGCAGCAGAGGTGACCCCTGCACTGGCTTGGAGGCTGAACTTGAGTACTCTTCACAGCACAGGGACCCTTATATACCTCCAGTGGCCTCTCTACCATTGCTGGCTCCCTCTAAGTAAAAGGACCTTTGAACTTCTCTCTCCACCAGTCGCTTGACATCCACTCATAAGGGCACAACAATTGCAACGATTTCCAGTTAATCATGAAATGTGTAAAATGTCAGCCTTCAGCTGACAGTTAAGCTCAGCCACTTCGAGAAATGGCCACACGTCTTGCTTACCTTCCACCAGGGAGGTGAGTAACGTGACATTTGCTGCTTTGCGCCTGCCCGCGGGTAAATTCAAACCGATTTTTTCTAGCCTTTCCCGCAAAGATCTCCCCCCATTTTTCGATTTGGCTCTGAAATTGCAAGAATTAACATTCTGATTAACCTCGGAGTGTTCCTGAAACAAAGTTTAGACTTAGCAATCTAAAGCCCAGTGGAGCTTGAAGAGGCTTTAACTTGAGGTTAGCACATTTCCCCCCTTTCCTTTTGGTTATTTGCTGATAGTTTGCTGAGGTTTGCTTAATTTCTGCAATACAGGGCATAAAAAAATTGAGCATTTTCTTTTTTATCTCATGAGTTAAAAAATGATAGCAGATGGGAATAATTAGGGTGTAGGTTTTGGATCTAGAGAAGGTAGATGTTGCACACACACAAGCTCTTTCCTTGTCACTGAACCAGTTAAGTGAGCAGAAACTGGGCGAGCACAACCATGCAGAAAAGAGAAAAGAACTGGGTGGTTCAACGAGAAGGCACTAGCTGAGGTGGGCTTTGCAAGGAAGGGTCCAGAGTCCCTCTAAGCCCATCCAGGTGTGGCTCAGTGGTTGAGCATCAACCCAGGAACCAAGAGGACAAGGGTTCGATTCCCAGTCAGGGCTCCATCCCCAGTGTGGGGCATGCAGGAGGCAGCCAATCAATGATTCTCTCTCATCAGTGATGTTTCTATCTCTCCCTCTCCCTTCCTCTCTGAAATCAATCACACACACACACACACACACACACACACACACACACACAATATTAAAAAGAGTTGCTATAAAATGGAGTTGGGTTAAAAGGGGAAGGAAGATTGAAACATGAAACTAATGGTGATACTAATCATAACAACAGTAAAACTAACACTGTAGGGAGTTTTGTTATGTAACAAACACTTTATATTATCTCACTTAATCTCATAGCAAGTTTTATACACACACTTAAGGCCTCGGGGTGATTGAAAGAAACTTCCACACTCAGGGGCTCATAGGACTCACTTGAAAACTGAACCATAGAGCACAGCTAGAGGACTCAGGGTGAGAAATGCCTGCAGGTCACCCCCTTCCTTCCTCCCAGGGCTCTCCCTCTGAGTGCTAAGGTATGCGCAGAAATACAAGAAGAGAACCAGTTACTCTGACCTCTCTTGCTATCCACACAGCCACTTTTAGGAAAGAAAGGGACCACCAACTCCTGAAATGGGCTAACCGGGACAGTTCACCTCATAGGATGTCACCTTCATGCCAGTGCCATTACCAAAGGGTTTGGGCATTGGCAGGGACTTCGGGGGAGGCTTTAGATCTTAAGTTAAAAACCACCTCCATTTCCCACAAGAAGCCCATGGATTGTCTTCCTCCAATCTTAGGGAGTATCATAACGGCCTCGAGGAATAACTATTGTTTCTTCTAACGCGGGATCATTGCTATTATTGGTGGTAATATTTCTGAGGAAAGAAGGTCACGGGTCTAGAACAAAGTTTTCTCCACACTGTGGGGCACAGTGCATTAGTGGGTTTAATCAAAATAGAGAGATCGATCAGAGTACCTTGCTCTCTGTGATACGTCTGTGTTAGATAAATGTGTGTGTAGCTGTTAGGTCTCCCTCAGGGTAGAATGCCCTGGAAGTGTCCTGGGGCTAGGAGGAAGCGGGACGCGGGCCAGGGCTGGGCAAATGGAAGGTTCCCCGCGGGGCGAGGCCTGCAGAGTGGACCTGCAGAGCTCGGACCTGCAAAGCTCGGACCTGCAGCGTGAGGTCCGGGTCCAAAGGAGGCCACTGCGCCCCGGGCCCAGCACGTGCGGCTGCAGCTCCCCGCTCGCTCGCTCGCTCGCTCCCCAAGCGGGACGCCCGGTTGCTAGGCAACCGCGTCCCGCTTCACAGCGGTTCTGGCGGAGCCTGCTCCCCCCTTCGCCCCATAAAAACCAGCTTGGGGGTGGGGGGTGGGGGCGCGTTTTACCTTCTGAGGACGCCGCCGAGGAGAGACGCGTTGAGGCATTCGGGGGGCGAGAGCCGTCTCTGGACCTCCCCCACTGTGACTTTGTACTTGGAAGTGGAACTGAGCAGAGACAAGCGGCCGGGGACCGAGCAAAACACCTCGCCCGTGTTGACGGACATGCCTCCCAGGAAGCCATCTTTATTCATCATCAGAGAAGTCACAGATTTGGGAGGAACCGGAACTAGAGAGAGAGAGGGGAAAAAAAATATATGCCATAAAGGTGACCGGGTTTCGATCCTGCTGACCGGCTGGTAGAATGTGTCCGTGCGTGCGCGCGGGGCCGGCCACAGGCCGCGCGCTCGGTGGAAAAGCTGGAGGAGGAAGTGTTGGCGGCGCTGCGGTGCGTTCAGAGCACCGTGTCCCGGCGAATGGAAAGGCCGTCAACCCTCTGGAAAATTACCCCGTGTGTGGAGACATAGGCGTGTCTCTGGCCAGGGCCCCCTGCGTTGCATACCTAAATAAAGACGCAACCCAGCCTTTGGATGGTGCTAGGGGACCGGACAAATCCTATTCCATCACATGCTGGCCTTGTGACCATAAGGCATGTCACTGAACCTCTCTGACTCTTGCCTGTTTCTTCATCTGTCTCCGGAAGGTGATTGTCACCATGCATGACATAAAATAGTAATGCTCATGGTCTTCGTGGGAGCCCCTCCCCCCTCCTCTCCCGCTGGACCCAAACCCTGGCCATCCCTGGAGAGGATCAGGAGGGTGGGCCCATATCAGGTGCTGTAGTCCAGACCCACCAAGTAATACCATTAAGCTGGGGAGCTGGGCCCCCAAGCGTTGCTCATTTCTCCAAAAGGAATCCCATTCTTTCCCACATCGTACCAGCAGACTCATTTAGAAATGAACCCAAATGCTCCTCTCCACTGAACGCAATCCCGCAGTGACATGGATTTTGTTTACAAATTAACACAAAGCACTGGCTGTGATTGTTTGGAGCAGTTATGATTTACAACAGGTGCCCTGATCAATCAACCAATCACTCTAATTCATGTGAGCTGCGGTCTTGCCTTGTCCCAGTTGTTTCATTTCGGCAAGTAATTGATAACAAACCGCACTCAAGGTATGTTTTATGCAGAAGTTAATAAGAGCTGACAGCTGGTTGCCACTGCCACCCAGGCGCACTTGGTGTCTCCAGCCTGTGTTTCTGTTTAATTGTCTCAGTGTCATCTGCACCCGGGGCAGAGGCAGGGCTCAGTTAGAACCAGAAGGCTGGGAATGAAGCACAGTGAACGGTCAGCCACCTAGTTCCCTAGCACTCTTGCTCCCTCAGACTTCTGCCCTGCCAAAACCCATTTGCTTTCTGCGAACTCTAGAAGCCACCATGCAGGCGACTATTTCTCCGGACTTGCCCTACACTTTAGTTTCTTCCACTGGGGAAGGAGGCTCCAAATACTCAAGCAGTATTTGTTGATCACCAGTCCAGGGAATTTCTTGAAAAGGGAGGCTTCCATTCCGCCTCTTTAATAAAGACTCTGTTTCTCCCTATAATCCTAGTCGTAGAAAGATATGCTCTTTCTGCCATCTGGAGCCTAGAACTCTGTATGTCAAACAAGCTGTATCATTTCCCTTGTACAGAACAGACTCACTAACACAAGATTGTCGTAACAGCTTGGTCTCTGTGCCACAGATTCCAGCATTCAGACCTTCATGATTGTTTAGAGCCTCCTAAAAGCCAGTGAGGTCCCAAATCTGTTATTTACTATGCATTGTGTTCAGCCCTTTATAAAGACTTTGTGGAAGGGGCTTTCCTAGGGCAGTGGGTGTAGGGACTGAAGCATTTCCCTTCTGCGACTGCTTAACATGTATTTTTGGACCTCTGGCTCTGTTCACAGAGTCCAGGACCTTCTCCCAGGGCAGATCAATGATGTCAGCTAGCAGAGTGGATCTTGTGCACTGACCTGGTGGAGGTGGTGAGTTACAGAGGGGCTTGCTTCTTTCTCATTCCCCTCATCATAGTCTCATCAGTGATGTTGCTTCCCACTTAAGAGTGAACCAGTAAAAAGTTGAAGTGTGAGTATTAATTAAGTTTGAGTTAAATTCATTTAATAGACAGTGATTGGGATGGGAACATCTATCATTTGATTCTCTTATACAGCATCCACATCTGTTTTAATCAATCTTATTCCTCACAGCAGTTCTGATTTCCATATGTCAGATTCATATTCAAGCATTATAAACAAATAATGTATGATCATGAAAACTGACATTAGATAACCTTGGGAAACTTTCCCCCAAATGTAGATTGCCCTTTGTATTTTGACATGGCATGAACTGTGACATAAACTATATGAAAATCTCAAGCTTGATACTCAGCAACATTTTCATATTTAAATACTACTTAGAATATTTTAACAGAAGAAAACCCACTAATCTAAAAATAGTAAGTTCAGTTCCTAGTTCCTGGATAACTGAATATCTCCTGAGGATTGGAATTGTACCTGCTTCTCACAGTCCCAGATGTCAGATCTCTTAAAGAGCCAGGCCTTTAGAGACACTTTATAACTTGCCCTCTAATTTCACTATTGCTAATTGCCTGGTTTACCTGACAAGAGCTATTTCCTTTGGGGAATGTGTATTGCTCCCTCCCCTGTACCTTCCTTTCCACATATACATTATCACCTAAATATCACCAATCTGGTCAGCTTCTGTCAGCACTCTACTGTCTGGGGAGAAGGGGAAGGAGTTTTTGTTTGTTTTTATCCATAAACAGCTATTAAACAGACATGCATCAGATATTTCCGTTTTTAAGTCTAAGTGTCTATCATATGCCTATCCTGTATTTTCTCAACCTCAGGTTATAAAGCTCTTTTCCACCCGGACCTTAGCATTGGTGACCTAGACTAGAGCCTACACATTTCTAGTCCAACTTTCCTTTAAATCTGTAGCAGTATTATCATCTATCTTCCCCTCCACCTCACACCTGCTCAGCTCAGCTGATTACCCCCATATTTTACTCTTGGTCTTTTTTCCTTCTGCTTTCCTCCAGTTTATCAATAAACCCAGAGAGCAACAGGGCCCGGTTGATTTATTAGTAATTATGAGTACACTGTTCCTGCTCACGGAACCCAGAGATGACTAAGATAGGTTTCAAGCGACAGCAGGAAATGGTAAGGAAATGGAGCATAGCAAAACTCAGCACGAAGCTCTCAGTTCTTTACATGTTTACAGTTTTCTGTGCATACATTAAAACTGTTTTGTGGTGTGTGTTTTCTCTCTTCAGTTCTCAGTTGGATAGCATGGCCAACTTCTGGATGTAACACCCTCAAAATTTGCTCACCTCCTCCCTTTTCCCTTGCATTATTTTTGGGGGAAGAAAAAGGTTTAAAAACAGAATAATATCTCATTACTGTGACTGGAGTTTTATTTAAGAAAGAGGAAGAAAAATGATTAGAGGGAATATTATTTATTAGTGGAATATATAGAGCCAAAGTGTTAACAGGCTAGCTCTTAATCTGTATTCTTTAAACTTAAGTGTGAAATTGTAGCTTTGAGATCTTTGCGTTTGACTGGAAACAGACCCCCTTAATCTGACCTGCTGGTGGGGGAAGAGGGAAAAAATAGACTCAAGGGCTAAATCCTTCTGAAAGGTACATGGATTTAAATATGCAAACTATACCGGGAAGCCTCCAAGAGATTGAGCACTGTTTGAAATAATTACTTCTCACCAGCAGAGCTTCCCTTTCCTTACACTTGCATTGTTTCTCATCCACCAGACGGCTAAATTTTATTCCAAATGCATATGTAACAACTGTACAAAATGAGTACTGAAATACTGGAAAGAAAAAAGGAGATAGAACATAAGAAAAGCGACAGACATTCAGTGCTGGCATCCTTTAGGGACAAAGCCTAAAGAGGCTGGAAACTGAGTTGGGTTCCATCGCTTACTTAACACATGGGAACTTGAGAAAGTAATTTACCTACTCTCTGTTCCCACACTGGTGTGGAAGGAGGTGTCTAACCTTCCCAGCTTTGAAATTCTATGCACTCTGATTACTCCCTGGGTGGCTGGAGTGCATCTCAGAGTTCCTACTTGAATCAGTAGGGCCCCACATCAGCTCTGGGAAGGCATACCTCTTCGCTGGAGAGGAAACTCATACCTTCTCAGACTCTCAGTACTTTTACCTTTTAAGCCAAAAGGAAGAATCCCAGCAGAACCTACTGTAATTGAAATTGGCAAATTCTTTATTCTCCCCCACCTGAAAGAAAACCCACACCAATCAAAGTGTTTGTGTGGGGAAGGGGCCAGAACTAACGGGGAAAGGGAGAGAATGGAGGTTACACTGGAACTAACCAAACAGGATATCCCTAAGACCGATGAAAATGCCCTACGGTCACATTTGGACCTTGGACTCCAGCCACACTAGCCTTTCCAAGAAATCCCAGCATTCCCCCCCCCTCCCCTGATGCTTAAGGTGTGAAACCAATTGCATATTGGCCTCTGATGGCACCACAAACTTTTCTTTTTAAATCTAGGTGAGACTTTAAAAAAAATTAGTCTGTAGGATGTTGGCAGTGATCATGGTATAAGCTGGGTACCCCCACTCCCAACCAGCCCATATTCCCAATCCTAATGGAACTGAGAGTTAAGAATGATTTTTTAATGTCTCGTTGGATTTTTAGACTGTTAATGTACCGAATCCTTCTCATTATTACTTTATTGATTGCTCATTGACCAGCCCCCTTCAAATCGTATTAACCACCCTCTGCCGGTTTAGATTAGGAGAGTTTAAAAAGCACCTTTCATTATTCCCACCCCCCCCCCCCACGCCTGCCATGGAGTTGAGACTCAGACTTGGCAGCTTAATGGGAGCTCTAATGGGGCAGCTAAGAGGAGAGGGGCCACGGTCCCTGCCGATTGCATTAATAGCTCAAAGGGGGCCAATACAGAAAATTAGCCGTAAACGAGCTCTGGAGATCCTCAAATGAAAGAGCCATTTATCACGCTGGCTACCTTCACTCCACTCGTTTGCTCTCTCTACTGGGAACAACTCATTTCCTCTTAACTAAATTACTTCAGAAATGTCAGCTAAGCCCAGATAGCAAACATAACGAGAGAGCTAGCCTATCATCTATGGGGGGATATCAACAGGGCTGAAAAATTGGAGTGGTCAAATTTTAGAAGTGGGGTGTCATTCCATAATGAGAGGGGGGGGGGGGAGATGAGAGAGAGAGATGAGAGAGGGAAGGAGGAAAGGAAGGAGAGAGAGAAATTTTTATACCTAAATTTCCTGGCTTCATAAACACAGGCAGAGACCCCAAACCTGGGCCAGTTAAGGCAATTTTAGTAACAAGGTCGAATTTTTAAAAATCTCTTTAAAAGCCCATTAGAAAATAAATTAAGCAACGGAGTCCCCTGCCAGTTGTTGAAATTTAGACTATTTTGTTCATAAAACTTTCTTACCTCCTCTTTTGGAGACATCTCTCAAAAGGTGGGGGGAGGGACAAAGATGGAGACCAAGAGCAGAAGGAGCTAATGAACTCATCATCTTATTTTAGTGGTACACAGTAATTTACAAAAGCCACTCAACTACTTACTCCTATTCCACCCATAACTCTCTAAAACTAAAATTGTGATCTTGGGATCTTTTCTTCATGTAATAATAAAGCAAATACATAAAATATTAAATACTGGAGTTAACCTAACATTTCATATTCATTCCATACCCCCTAAATCATTAAAGTGACAAGGGTGCCACTTAGATGTTTTAAGCTGCACATTATTTAAAAAGCAAAACAAAACAAAACATTAAAAAAAAAAAAACCTTTTAGGGCCATAACAAGTACTGTATGTTTCTAAAACAAAACCAGTAACTTTAGTCAATATCCTCCTTTTCTTGTTCCTGAAGATATACCTTCACACATAAATATTCACATTCTGATGGCAAACACATTCAAGCTCTGAAAGGAAAGCCTCACACATCTGAGAATAAGTTCAGCTTCCTTTGGTTAGGCAAGCTCAATTCCAATTATGTTTATTGGCCTGGCTATTAATAACATTTCTGATTGGTCATCGGTTGGCATGCCCCACTGCCAGCCCAAATGCTGCTTCTAGGATCTGGAGCTCTGAGCTAAGGAGTTCTGGCTTTCCATGAAAATGAACGGGGAACTAAAACAAAAAGGAAACAAAAGCAGCCAATGAAGAATTATCCTCCCTCCCCTCCTTCCCCCATTAACCAGCAATTAACCAAAAGAGAAGACCCAAGAGGAAATGGTGAAAGTGAGCTGTCAGCACAGTTGCAAATCTAAGCAACCAGACACTGGAGCAAACCCAAAAGCTGACATTAAAAACTGAAGAAATGATACTATCTAAAGAAGAGAGGGAGAGATATTTAAAGCAACACTTAAGTACTTTTGCCCCAAACCTTATTATTCACCGGTCATTCCAAAGCCAAATGGCATCACTTTAAGTACAGCTTCCACCTCCCAGCTCCCACCTCTCAGAGCTACTTTCTCTGCCTTTTGTAAAAGAAGAAAATGTAGAATGCCTCACCCTCCTCAGAATCCTCACGTCACAACCCTTCTACTATATCAACTTGACTCTGGATTATTTTCCAAAACATCTTCCATTGTTTTTGTGCAGGTCATGTGGCTCCCATGAATCATACATGACCGAGGCTGGGGCTTGTTGACACCAAACAAGGACATGTCTTCTCCAGCATCGATAAGAAAGGGTTACTGTAGTTAAAAAATTGTATCTCCAAACACCGGTTCTGGTTCTTGTGATCATTAAAGATCGTCTGTTTACACATTCAAGCTCCTAAATGTGTGGCATGTGAGTGACACTCGGGCCCTGGGACAGCCACACTAATCGCCACGCATTCTCTCAGTGACAGAGAAGAAGGGGGGAGAATTAAGCAGCTGCAATATGCCCAAAATGAGTTATTGTAATTACATTTAATTAGTTTAATTAGTTAATTATTTTGCTTACAGCTGTACAAGAGACTGCAAACATTTGTTAATATCGCATGCCCTTTAACAGTATGGGGTGATTCCACAGTCACACTAAATCATGAACGCATATGTAGGAAGACTTAGAAATGTGCATAGGCTGGCTCAGCTTCTCAGGATGCGCATGTTTAGCGACACATTTGGCACAATTAAACAAAATAAGGAACAACTCGTAAAACACAGAGTACCGGGAACAAAAATGCCACTGAAAAATCAAACACAAAAATAAGGAGGGAGGGAACTGTCTCAATGACCTAGGGTTGAGTCCAGCAAATTCCAGTTATCAATGAAAACATTCTGGTACATTTTTGCAAGCAGTGTTTCCTACCTAGTTCCATCCATGATGGTAGCTCAATTATTGGAGATAGTATCTAGACTTACTATCAAATGTACCAGGAGAAAAAATGGCCATAGTCTCTGTCCCCCTCTCTTTCTCATCCGGGTTTCTGCCTGCGGGTTTTTTTTTTTCCTCCTCCCTCCCCATTTCCTTCTTCCCGACATGCCCTTTCACCCAGACAGCCTCTGTTCCATAATTGTGAACAAACATTTGTGTCTTATAAAATAATGAATTCCCCCAAAGTGAAAACTCATCACGAAGACATCAATGCACAGGAGAAGTTTGTTTACTTTTGGGGGGAAATAATCCATACCTTTTTTTATGACAGACTGGTCCAATAGATTCATGCCGCTGTTATTGGCATCTTCAACTGACTGTGGATATAAAAACATCACTATTCAAATTGACTGGATATTAAAGAATCGCACACATAAATCATGTCATTCCAAACTGGAGTGTCTGTTATTTCCATTTATATTAATTCACAAAGGGAGGTTTTATTATTATCATTATTATCTCTGAATCGGCATAGAAATGAAATTCACCCAAATTATACATTTTCCCAATGAAAGAAGAGGAAAAAGGAAACTGTGAGCGTCACCTGGGATGTGGTATTGGTTCAGTGATTATATTCAACACAGATATTACACAGACATATAAACTTTTATATTATTTGCTCTTATGAATTGTGAGGATTTGGCAACAGCTGAAAGATTTCCACCCATATTAGTAAGAACAATTTCGGTTTTCTGTTCTATCCCTGCGCATTTTAACTCCAGAATCATCTCACAAATACATAACAGTTTACATTATGGGATTTTAATTAAAGTCTGAGCCATTTGGAATGGAATGCAAACAGCAACACATAGGAACATGTTTGCGAGCCACCAGGACCGCACACCCACTGCTGTCCATTCACAGCCGTTGTGAACTTCCTGCCTTACAACAGTCCCCAGGAGGAACCTGCACCGTTTGCTCCCCTCGCAACCCAGCTTCCCAGCAAGAGGCACACCTGTTAGGAAGGCAGCCACCACAGATACACAGACACACACAGGGGCCCGGATGCTCCCAGTCAGCACCTGGGGATTGGCAAGAGCCTTCATCTTCCGTGCCATGGTTTCATCCCTTAGAAGGCAAGTTTCCACCCTGGGTGTTGGCAGCACTTCTGAAGGGAAAGAGCTGTTGGAATGGGTTTCTTGCTGTCTGGCTGTGCATCCCTGGGCCTCCAAAAGCAGTGGGTTCCCTTGCCTGCCCACGCAATTAAAATAAACGCCAGGTCCCTCTGAGATGGACACCTGCTTTCCTCTGATCCACAGAAACCCACGTTTGGACCCATTCGTCAGTCACCCAAAGCAAAGGGACGGGAGGGGGGAGGGGCCCGAGGTGGTGTTTTGACTGCACCTCCCACCCCCCTCATGCTGCATCCCCAGACAAGGTGTATGTTCCTCACAGGAGGGGGGTGAGACTGCCTCCCCCAAACCAGGGGCGTGTCAGAGGCCAGAGATGAGATGATCTAAGCACGGAAGGGGCAGATTATACTTTGTTTCTTTGGATGTTTAATAGTCCGCCACTCCTCCGCTCTCAGAAAGGTGGGAGAAAATTGTTATTCTCAGTTAAGAACCGTTTTTTCCAAGTTGCAACATGCACATCTGAAGAAATAGCAAAAACCCTTTTTCTGGAAAAAACAACGACTTCATGGAACTTGTTGGAGACTCCTCAGGAGACCTAACCACGCACACGCGCGCATGCATGCACACAGGATCCACGGCTCCCTGTGCCCACGTGTCTACAGCGGAGACGCGTCCACGAGGGACACGAGCGTTCCTCTGTCCGTGGGCGCGATCTCCCGCGCCCCCACACCTCACTCCGGTTGGTGCGTCAATATGTATATACGCCTCATCAGCGACGCGGGGTAGTTGTGGTAGTTAATGAGAAGGCTCTTGTCTGATTTTCTATCTAATTACGGCCGCCTGCTGGGTTTTTGTACAGGATATTCACGCAGCATGCTGGCGCTTAATCGTCACGGGGAGGATCGTAAAGATTTAATTAGGACTGCATGCGGAAGCGCAGAAAAACAACTCAGACTCGTAATTACTAGACTTCTTTAGTTAAAAGTGATACCAGGGGTTGCTTTAAGACACGGGGGTGTGTGTTGGAGTGTGTGTGTGTGTGTGTGTGTGTGCGCCTGTGTGTGGGGGCTGCGCGTGCCCTCGCGTTGGGAGGTTTGCCTGCACATCCTCCTATGTTTACACTCATGGGTGGCAGAGGTGATGAGAGGTGAGAGAGCAACTGATTGGAAGGAGAAAAGAGGTTTTCCTGGGAACTAAACAAACTAAACAAACTCCAAACGAGGTGTCATCTCAGCCCCTCTTTCTTTCTGATGCTGTTGGTTCTAAGTTGTTTTTTTTAAACACTGCCCTCCACCACCACCACCAACACACACATACACATACACACACACACACACACACACACACACAGTGGGTGAAATGTAGCATACCCAGAACACAAGCAGCGATTTGCTAGTTTAATAGCCCCTGTGAGTAAATTGAAATAGAAATTGACAGGGTTTTATAGTTTCATTTAAAAAAATATTAGAAGCATTTGGTTAATTAGCTCTCCTCCTTCTCTCATGACTGGGGCGGTGGCCATGAGTGTGAGTGTGAGTGTGTGTGTGTGTGTGTGTGTGTGTGTGTGTGTGTGACATAACAGCCCCTACACCCTTGGCCAGATGAGGAGCCCTGGTTGTGAAGTCCACTGGCCGGCAGCCCTCTTGGGGTCTGTCTGGTGGGCGGGTGGGGTGGGGTGTAGGGGATCCAGAACACCCACTAGGCCCTTGAGACTGAACCAATGATTACAGCCCAGGCCTGAAGAACCCCCGCGCAGCAAGCCCATTCTGGCTGCAGGGAACTTTGAAACCCCGACAGGTTCCTTCCTGTAACTTTGGATCCCCCAAGCTCCAGATCCTGAAGCTAGAAATGGAAGCTCTGGATTTGGGGGTCTGGTCCTGGGTACATCTCCTCTCCCCCATCTTTGTCATCTACCCCGAGTCAAGACAAGCACACTTCACGACGAGATGGGCCATCTGGGAAAGGTGCCGGTGTATCCTTCGCCACCCTTAGCACCGGGGGTCATCCACACAGGGTCCCAAGAGCCTGCTTACTTCCCCAGACTCCTGGCTGGGATGCTCCTGGGGAAGGAGCTGGGCAGAGGTGGGGTGCGGTGGGGGAACCTGTGAGGCTGGGCCGGTACCTTCTCCCCTCTGAGCTACCTCTCTCTGTGGTCTGTGTACCCACCCACAGCAGCTGGGCCCACCGGCCACGCTGGGACAGAGGTGTTCCCCCAAATGCACAGACCGGGCCCCGTTTTTTCTCTCCTCCTTCGCATTTGGCCAGACACTCAAAACGCCTCGCAATGATCTCTTCCTTTAAAATCTGAAACCAAATAAATCCGGTTCCTCTTTGGGGGGAATTCCTCCGTTGGGTCACCTGAGTCACTCGGCCAGCAGGGTTGGGGGGCGGTAGGAGGTGACAGCCAGTGTCAGCACTGCCAACAGCAATGGTGATGAGCTGATCCACTTTCATTATCTAGCACTCTGAACCGTACTCCGAAAGGTTAATTTAAAAACTCCCTCCCAGACACATATCACCCCAATGCATTAAAAAAAAAACACCCCACAACTATTAAATATTTCTCATCTCATATGATATTCTGAAATGAGCATGATCTCCAGACAGGGACAGTCAAGCTCTATTAAATCAACAAAACTATCATTCTTATTACGGTGGGTTAAACTCAGCCACAGATCAGGTGAGACCGTCTTTTTTTGGAAAACAATACATAACTGGATTTCCTTTAAAACAGTAAACCATCACAGACTACCCACAGACCACATCGGATGCTGCCACCGCATTTTAACTGTCCAGCATACATTTTTTCCTTCATCAAAATAGAGGAAAGACTTGTGCACCCTTGTCCCTTCCCCACTTCGTTTTTCATTGCCTCAGAGGTATGCCTACCATAATGCAGAAAGTACACAACTATGCCAATGAGACCAGAGTGTCAATGAAATACCTCTCAACCATATTTATCTTTTCTGGAGACTATTTAAACTCAAAAGCCAAAGGAGACCTGCTTAGAATCACCCAGACAGGTTTTTTAAAAAAGCATTTCTTTGATGCTTTCTTTGTTTAGTTTAATCAAGTATTCTCAACCAAATCAGGCTCCATTGTGTAGGTCGCAGATGGGATAGTGTGCGGGTAGGGGGAGTGTTTTGAGCCTTTTGTTTTAAGAAATAAACGAGTGATGCCTTTCCATTGGGATGGTAACATTGAGGAGGAAGGAGTATTCATGGAGGGGGAGGTTTGAAGAAGGAGCAGAGAATATTGCTCCTCAATCATTTAATGAACAGAAAGGTGAGCAGAATCTCTCACATAGTAGCCGTCCTCACGGACTCTCAAAAAGAAATGTGGCTTTCTGGGTCTCTCCCCACAAAGATCCCATTTCTTGGGTAATGATTCTGGAATTCAAACATTTGGCAAAAGCAACCTGCAGGTTATGTATGGGACATTGGGAGGAATACCTGGCTTGGATCAATGCAGCCCATGTTTTTCTTCCAATGTGCACTGTGCCGCTTAATAGTCTTTGCAAATCCAGCAGAACCTCTGAGCTTACCCAGGACCCTGTGTCCCCACGCAGGAGCCCCAGTCCCTAGGCAGCTGGGTCTTCACCTGCCAAGCCATGGGGCCAGGCCCACTACAGGACATGCGGTGGGGAGAGTCCCCAGGTTGCTCCCCCAACCCCCAAGAGAACAGGAAGGGGCAAGACAAGAACATCTAAGCCTTGGTGCTGAGGATGCTCAACGATCCAGCTACACACACCTACTTCCCTCCTTCACCATTTCATTCCTAGCGGTTCCACTTGCATACTCGGACCTCCACTAGAGAGCCACACACGTCCCTACAGACACGAACAAATCCCATACGCTGTGTCCAGCGGGTCCCCTGTCTTAAAGATGCAAACTACCCCCCCCCACACACACACACAGCCGCCCCACCCCCACAGCTCCCCTCTCCCGGAGGAGCCTTCGCGATTTATTTCCAGTCCCTCTCGTTCGATCGCTGGGTGGTTTACCTGGACGTCTTCCATCCCGGGGTGGCCGAGGCCGTGCAGCGAGAGGCTGTCGCCCATGCCCGCGTCCAGGCCGTGGTGCGCCGAGTGCAGCAGCACGTCGGGCCGGCGGACTGAGTGGTAGTCCCTCCGGGGGTCGAGGCCCGAGAGCTGGGGCAGGGCGGCCCGGGGCTGGGGCAGGAGGGAGCCGGCTTCTGAGCCCACGTCCTGGCGCTGCCGCTGGCCCCAGGGGTGCTGCTGGGGCTGGTGCAGGGGGTTCAGGGAGTAGGGGTCGTTGACGTGGGAGTAGGGGTCCTGGCTCTGGTGGTAGGGGAGCGGCTGGTAGGGGGGCGGGAAGTAGGGCGGCTGGAAGTCGGACGACGGGGTGTGGGACAGCGGCGGGGCGCTCGAGTACGGTCCTTGGGACACCGAGCCCAGCTGGGAGAGCCGGGAGCTGTGGCTCGGGACGCCATCGTGCCGGTCCTGGGAGCCGAGAGAGAGAGAGAGAGAGAGAGAGAGAGAGAGAGAGAGAGAGAGAGAGAGAGGGGGGGGGGGGGAAGACAAGGGGAAGAAGGAGAAGAAAAAAAAAATACAAGCGACACATGGAGAACCGGCTTCGGTGCGTTCTCCCCGGGACCAGGGGAAGCAGGAGTCTGAAACTGACACTGCCAAGTGGGCTCAGAGAGCAAGTGATTTTTCAGAATCCCAAATGCAAGGCTTTATTTTTTTGGGGGGGAGAGGGAGGGAATGGGGAGCATCACCCACACAACCGACCCGACATCGGAGCCCTCGGTGGGGAGTGCAAAGCCAGCAAAAAAGGGCGAGGGGGAAATCGCTGTGCATGGAGGAGGGAGTTTCTACATGCCTTCCTTAAAAACACCCTGCTTACACACGGCCTGTGCTCTGCTGGGTGTTGGGGGCAGTGGTTTCTAACTCTGCCAGGGCTCCAGAGCATAGCAGATGAGACTGTCAGCTGCGCTGCCCCTCCAGTTCAAAACCAACTTCTGCCTTCCCTGGCAACCCAGGGGGCTGCCGGGAGCTCTCCGCCCGGCCTGGCAATTCCAGGGGCTGCAGAGATCTGTGTGATCTGGGTTCCCAGTCCCCCTACCACCACACCCCCCAACTGCCCCCCCCCCCACAAGAGGAATGAATTTAAATAGTGTCTGATTGAAATGGATCTCATTAGGAATCCTACCCTAAGCCCCTATGAAGTGGAGCTGTGGTTTGAAGGAGTTATTTCAAAGGTTGCTTTTCTCTATCTAATGCTGTTATAGACTCCAGGGTGTGAAAATGAAGGACTTGAGGTTGGAAGGAGGGGAAATAAAAAAAGCCCAGACAACTCCCTGTTGGTCCTATCTGGAGTGGTTCACTAAGTAAGAAAAAAAGAAAGAAAGAAAAAGAGGTCTGTGTGTGAGAGAAGGGGATTTAAGTTTCTCCCTCTCCTCTGTGGAAATGCCATGGGAAAGCCCCCGTGTTTTTCATTTTGGAGAAACAGTCACCTAAATTTCCAAACTGCAAATGGCAAGTGAAAAGTTTTCTCTTTGGTCGCCCCCCCTCCCTCCCCAACTGACTCCAAGAGCTCAGACGGAGAAACACACAATGCAGAGAGAAGCAGCTGCAGCCTCGTCCAATTATGGTGCTAAATTACCAAGCCAAAGGCGCTCCGAGGAAGACAGAGACAGAGAGAGTGAGACACGCACAGAGACCGGAGAGAGATGGGGAGAGAGAGAGAGAGAGAGAGAGACAGCGAGAGGGAGCATGCAGGCAGTTCTGGTACAACGTGAATCCAAACTCACCATGGATGAATAGGTGTGGACTAACATCTGGAAAAAAAAGCCTGGTTACTGCTCAAAATCAAACAATGATTAAAAAAAAATAATCAAGGAGTCCAGCGAAGAAACGAGCTGGACACAGAAGCTGAGCTTGAAGTGTTTCCAGGGCAAGCCATCCAAAAAAAAAAAAAAAAAAAATCGCCCCCCCCCCCCCCACTCCCAAACAAGATTGGCGCTGCCTGTCACCCACAGAGCTGTGCTTGGGTCTCTTGCTATCTTTGGGGCCTTTTTTTTTCTTTCCTTCTGCCTTTTTTTTTCTTTTTTCTTTTTTTTTTTTTTTTTCCGGGCTCCAGAAGCAGTCCTCTTCCACCCGCAGCTGGGCTCAGACTGCTCCGGCGCCCCTTCCTCCCTCCGCTTGCCTACACCGCCTCATAATAATTGATATTCATGACTATTAATATTACACGAGTACTTTAAAGGGAGAATGGAGGACAAATGGAGCGTGAAGCAGCAGCCAGCACAGAGCTCCCCTACTATTGTAAATGACGTTCATTCAGTGGAGAATTACTAGATGTAATCAGACGAGGGGGCTGGCAGAGGCGGCCGGTCGGAGGGGGGAAAAGTTTAGCAGGAAAGAGGCAGAACTTCAGTGAGCGGGGCTGGGGACAGCCGCCCGCTCAGCAGCCTCTGCGGCCCGGGATGGGGCGGCGGGGGAGGGCATCGCAGGGGGCTTGTGTGGCATGGAGGCGTCCTTGTTCCTGGAGAGGGACTTGAGAACCGATCGCCCAAGGTGTTTTGTGTGCGGATTACAAATAATAATAATAATAATAATAATAATAATAATAAGGCGTTGGCTAGCGTTTGGAGGGGGAGAGGAGGAAGCCAGCCGGCAGGCCCCGCTGTTTACAGGGATGTGTGGGGACATCCACCGAGCATTGGCGATGATGCTTATGTGTATTTGGAGGACAGAGGCGACAGGGGGGCTGGGGCAGCCGTCCCCCTCTTTAGGGCTCACACGTGAAGCCTGTGATTTTTACCTCCATTTAGAAACACACCATCAATCTTCCGGTGCACTAAACCTCTCCTTTCCAGGCAAAGCCAGGGGCAACAGAAAACCTTTTCGGATATTTCAGGAACCCGTTCGACTGGCTTGACTGCCATTTCTGTTAAAGTTCAACCTTCCTCCCGACTTAAACGGGCTCCTTGCACCGGGCTGTGGGTTCTCCTGTATATGTTTTCAGCACAGAATTTAGCAGCTGGGAATACTTGCAATATTCTCTCTCTCTCTCTCTCTCTCTCTCTCTCTCTCTCTCTCTCTCTCTCTCCCTCCCTCCCTCCCTCCCTCCCTCCTTCCTTCCCTCCCTCCCCTTTTATTCTCTTCCCCTCTTCCACAACACCCTTCGTTTTCCTCTTTCCTTCTTTCTTCTCTCCTCCCCTCCTTTATCATTTAGCCAGTTTACTTTTCCCAATCAAATGCCCTGCTTACGTTTCGTGCCCCCTGAAGCCCGCCTAGATACCCATCCCAGAGCTCTGTCCTCAGGGTCCCACGGCCGCCCGTGCCATGCCCATGCCCACAGGGGCCGCTCACCGGTTCTTTTGGACGCGGGTTCTACCGCCTTCCACTTTGCCCCCATCCCGCGCTAAAGAACAGGAGGCCGAACCGAAACAAGCGCCCCAAGGAGGCCGGGCTCCCCGTTACTGTCCGCACCGAACCACAAAGAGGATTGGGAAGCCCCAGGCATCCTGCATCGTTTGCAGGAAGAGGTCTCTCTCTCTCTCTCTCTCTCTCTCTCTCTCTCTCTCTCCCCCCCCCCAAAAAAAAAATTAGGGTTCGGGGCTGGGCAGAGCTGGGGGCAATGGGCGAGCTCTGCCTGCGGGCGGGCGGGCGAGCCCATCTGGCCCGCGGGGCCGGCGGTGGCCGTCGGAGCTCGGCCGCTCGGAGCGCCGGTGGCCGGCACGGCAGGCGGCTGGGGCCGGCGTTCCCGAGTCCCCGGAGCTTCCGGATTGAGCTTCCCCAACAGGAGGTGGTGGTGGTGGCCGTGGTGGTGGCGGTGGTGGCGGTGGCGGTGCTGAGGGGGCGGGGGCTGGTGTCCTACCACGGCCGCTTCTCCCGGCCCCGCGCCCCGCGCTCGCCGCCCGGCCGGCCGATCCCCTCCTCCTCCCCTGGCCATCGCCCCTTCGCTCTCCCGCCGCGGCCGCCGCGCCGACCTCCGTTCCCAGCCCGCTGTGCCCGGCGCCTCTTCCCGGGCTTTTCTCTCCCTCCTCCCCGACGTCTGCGGGAGAGGTCTTCGCCCCCTCAACCCCCTTCCTCTAGCACCTAATTCGGGGTTTCCGAGGCCACCCCGTTCGGGGACCCGGCTCAGCGGGCTGCCGCCGGCCTTCCCTTCTCCTCCGGCCGCGGGCCCGCGCCCCGCCCGGCCCGGGAGCCGCCCCGCCGCCGCGTCCTCGGCCCCCGAGACCCAGAGCGCGTCGCGGGCGAGGCCCCTCTGGTCCTTCGGTGCCCAGAGGACAGCGCACCGGGCAGCGGCAGCAACTTCCCTAAAAATGCCCAACCATGGGGTGGCTGGGGCGCTCTGATCCCCGGAAAAACAAAACCCAAGAAAAGAGGAAAAAAATAACTGATGACTCCTTGGCTTGTGCGCCACAGGCACCCATCTATCTATCTCCCTCTTTCTATTTCCCATCCTCTATTTGTGGTCGATTACAGAAAATTTATTGAAAAATTAAAAAAAAATTAAAGCCTGAATCCAAGGAGACTCGAAAACCTAACCCTCGCCCTCACTCCCAACCAGGGAAGCCTGTGCCCCGAGCAGCCTGTCTTCTCTGCCCGCCTTCCCCATCCCAGGCTAAGGGGGGTGATGGGGAGGCGAGGAAGAGAGAAAGCAAAAGAAAAGAAAAAAAAAAAAAAGAAAAAGAGAGAGAGAGAAATCTTCTACGCTAGTCAGATTTCCACTTCTTTCTCAGAATTAGTGAAGTCTCTTCCCCAAGCCAGCCTTTCTAAAAGTTAGAGAAAGCTCAGAAAACCGACCGGAAATCTGCTAGGAAAAACAGCTTAAAAAAAAAAAAAAGCAAGCACAACAAACCACACAAATATATGAGTTGGGGTGTCCAGAAGCTCACGTTCTCTATCTGCAAAACCCTCAAATGCATCCGGGGTGCCCGCTCACCTCATAGATATCTTCGTACTTGACATTCTCCACGAGCTTCCAGAGCATGATGGCAGCCTGGTCTCTAGGAGGTGAGTGCATTCATGTGAGGAGCAGATGTCTGGCTTCTCAGGGCTCCGCTGTCTGTAATGATCCATCTATAATTGGAAATGGGGGATACACACCAAACCCGACGCTCCTCTCCCATCGCAACTTATATCTGTTGTCTCAGACAATAGGCTGGACGGAGCCAGCCTCAGCAGAGGGAGAAAACATGATTACACACACACACTCAGGAGTTAGATGCAACCCGCAGACATATATATTATTTAAAAAAAAAATCACAAACACGGATTGACACCCAGATACCCCACATTTCGTTATGTAAGCACCCCCTGGGTCACGCCTAGGTCTACAGACGCTGCCCCATGATGGAAAGGAGGAAAAGAGGGTTGATGGGTGTGATTAATAGAAATATACACATTTTAAAAAGCCTCTCTCTGTGGAAAATGATGAATCATGGTGGCCACGAACGAAAAGACTTTAAAATTCCTAATGAGAAACCAGGGGGCTAACAGCCTCCCCTCACCCCATTTTTCTATCTAGATTTTAAAAGGGAGTGAGATTTTTAAACACAAAAGCTCCCATTCGGATGTGTTCCGCAGGAGGGTATATTTTTTAGGGCTGGATTTTGGGATTTTAAGGGTGATCTCTCTGTGTGAATGGCAATATAACTTTTTAAAAAATAAAAATAAAAACTGTGCCTCTGTCACCATAGAACAAAAAGCCAGCTCACCAGAGTGACCATTGCTAATGTTTTTTTGGGTCATTTTGATGGACACAGTGGGTAACTTAGATACTATCTGAGCACCTCAGCCTGCACTGTTTGCTATTTTACCGCTCGTTTGTATGTGCCATCTTTTTCTTGGCCGGAGTCTCCATTTTATGAAGTTATTATTATTTTTTTTCCTTTTTCAGATGTGGGGGAGCAACACAGGCACATGCACCCATTTACACACCATGAGTGGATCTGGAGCCTTCTTTGCCGAAAGGAGACATAGTAACATTTTAGATTCACGGCGGTTTGTCTATATCTAACTTTTAAGTGGTTTTCCTCACGGAGGATCAAAATATAGTCACCTAAGCCTTTGGAAGGATTGAGGAGAGTGTTCTTTTTAAAGGCAATCTGAAAAACACTATGGGGTTTGTGTGTTTTTGTTTGTTTTGATGTATTTTTTCCCCCAGTAAGGTGATTTGGTAGTGTTTATTTTTTTCTTAATAAGGACAATGTAAACAACGAAGTTCCCCAAACCCTGGAGCTCGGGAGCCTTTAAAGGCACAGGGTTTCTGGGTTTCATCCCAAGGTGACTATTCACCTCATCCTCCCCTTTCCCAACCCCTCTATTTTTCCCCTTTTCCCTTTCAGGGTGCAGGAGGATCCCCACAGCCAGGAGGGAAGTCCAGTGGAGGATCTCCGCCCCCGAGGCAGAAAATAAATGGCAGGAGGGAATGAGGAGGGACCAGGGCAATTTGGGGTGGAAGTTATTAAACCTGATAAGAATGAATCTGCAAAGGGCGATTGTCTGTAAATCTTGGGACTGCCGCCCGCTTCACGCTGGAGCAGGGACATCCACGGAGGAGAGGATTCCAGACACCGGCTCCGTAAAAGCCAAGGGAATGCTTCAGAGAGTGCAGAATGAACAATTGGGCAGATTTTAAATTGAAATTGTTAAAATGCTAGGTGAAATGAAAGGGACACAAAGAAGGTGCTTCAAAAGGAACTTTAGAAAGAAACCCTATCTTAATTTTCAGTTTTCATTTTTATGCTTTTCCTTCCTTCCTTCCTTCCTTCCTTCCTTCCTTCCTTCCTTCCTTCCTTCCTTCCTTCCTTCCTTCCTTCCTTCCTTCCTCCCTCTGCTTTAATTCTAACACCTTAAGTTATACAAAATCTATTCAGATTGTCCACTAGAAACATAAGCAAATATTTATTTTCTTGGCCCCCAGGGCTGGTTTGGACATTCTTCCTAATGTGCAGTGAGACTGGAGACAGGTTTCACCCTCCCTTTCCAGTCCTACAACCAGTCCCAGATCAATATTTTGCAAGATAAAGATTATAGATTTTAAAATTCAGATTCTCTAGACACAGTTTTATTAATGGGAATAATTGTCTTCTCACTTCAAATCAATACCTCCATTATCTTTTTTTTTTAAATCTAAAGATCATTCTTATCCAAAATGAAAAGCATTTGGGAAGATCTTAATTTTTTTTCAAATGCTTTAAACAGACTCGCCATTTCTTTTTTGGTATATCATCGATTAGCCTGAAATAAATAGGCTCTAAGGGTTAAACCAAAAAAACAAAACCTGAGAGAGATACTTTCTATATAAAACTATTTTTAAAATACATTGGCATAAGTGCTTTATAGCCTTATTTGTGTATCATTTCAAATTTTGCACATGCCAATAGTGGGTGTTTTTAAAATTAGAAACGTCTTGAAATATTTCGTTAAAATGCATATAAATTCTTTAAGAAAACGAAAAAGTAACCAACCTAGTTTTATTAAGAATGAAGCATAAATTAAAAAATATATACACGCATATAAAGAGATAGCCAAAGAAATACAGAACAATAATTAAAACCGAGTCAATTTTTCAACGTGGACATTATTCAAAAAATCTTAGAAATTGCAAGGGAAATATTTCATAGGGAGCTGCATCTGTCATTGAGCGGGCAACAGCGCCCTCTGTCGGGATTTTGTACAAGCACGCCACGCCAGGTTGCTAGATTTTTTTCTACAGCAATTTCTTTCGGTTCCTGAAAACCTGTTATTGCTAAGAGCGTTTAAATTGGATTCTTATTATATCTACTATTAGAAACGATTGCTTCAGCATCTAAAAAGCTTAAACGCCTTCAAAAGTATATAAATAGAAGCTCCATCTCTACCGAGAAAAATTTCCTAATTTGAGCCAACTTTTCTTGTCCTTAACTTTCTGTTGTATTTCTGTTATATTTTGCTTTAACCTCCAATCAAGAAACGTAAGAAAAAATTCCCGCAAGAACTCAATTAATGCAAACTCATAGGCAAAACAAACTCTGAGTTCGAAGTGAAATTAAGAGGCTAATATGCATTTTCATCATTTTGTTTTTTCTTGTCTTCTTGTTTTGTTCCCATATTTTATTTTATTTTTATTTTTTTAGGGTACGCACAGGCTCGCCTAGGTCCAAGCGTGCTGGAGAATCCTAGACAGTTATATTCGTATTTTCAATTTCACTTATATTTATGTCCGTTTATAACAGCAGGCGGAAGAGTTAATAATACCTTCATTTTCTCAGCCTCCTATAGAGGGAATGTTTTAGGATGAATGTCAGAGACACCAACAGAAAGCGAATGCACTAGCATAGAGCCCTCTGCTGGCGGTTCCTGGTTCTAGGTTTTAAATAACAACAAAAAGTTACCGAAAAGTATCTTACATTCAATCAAAGTCAGCAATTAGCACTGCCATGTCTTATTTCTTATTTTTTCTAAATATATATATATAATTCTGGAAAAAGAATAACTGGAAGGGAAGGGCCAATTTAGATGGAGTTCGTTGAGGAAGCCACATTGACGCTGATACCTGACTATTGAGATTGAGATGAAACTGTCAATGCAAAGAGATTTCGAAGGCCCTGACCGGTTTGGCTCAGTGGAAAAAGCCCTGGCCTGCTGACTCAAGGGTCCCAGGATCGATTCCGATCAAGGGCATGTACATTGGTTGAGGGCACATCCTCAGTGAGGGGTGTGCAGGAGGCAGCTGATCAATGTTTCTAACTCTCTGTCCCTCTCCCTTCCTCTCTGTAAAATATCATTATATATATAAGATTTGGATAATCCCTGGCCAGTGTAGGTCAGTTGGTTGGAATGTCATCCCATTCACTAAATGGTTGCCAGTTTGATTCCAGGTCAGGACCTAAGTTGTCAGGTCAGGACCTAAGTTGTGGGGACTTAAAAAAAACCTCTAGCCCAGCCAGTGTGCCTGCCTCAGTGGTTGAGCATTCCACCTATGAACCACAAGAGGCCATGGGTTCGATTCCTGATCCAGACACATGCCCAGGTTGGGTTGCAGGCTCAATCCCCAGCAGGGGGCATGCAGGAGATAGGAGACTGATGTTACTCTTTCATCAATGTTTCTATCTCTCTATCCCTTTTAGTTCTTCTCTCTCTAAAATCAATAAAAACATATATTATTTAAAATATATTTTATTGGCTGAAACTGGTTTGGCTCAGTGGATAGAGCATCAGCTTGCGGACTGAAAGGTCCCAGGTTCGATTCCTGTCAAGGGCATGTACCTTGGTTGCGGGCACATCCCCAGTATGGGGTGTGCAGGAGGCGGCTGATCAATGATTCTCTCTCATTGATGTTTCTAACTCTCTATCCTTTTCTCTTCCTCTCTGTAAAAAATCAATAAAATATATTTAAAAAATAAAATAAATTTTATTGATTTTTTACAGAGAGGAAGAGAGAGTGATAGAGAGTTAGAAACATCAATGAGAATCATTGATCAGCCGCCTCCAGCACACCCCCCACTGTGGATGTGCCCGCAACCAAGGTACATGCCCTTGATCAGAATCGAACCTGGGACCCTTCAGTCCGCAGGCCGACGCTCTATCCACTCAGCCAAACCGGTTTCGGCTATATATATATATATATATATATATATATATATATATATATAGAGAGAGAGAGAGAGAGAGAGAGAGATTCAAACACTAAATAAAAATTTTAAAAATATAAAACATAAAAATATAATTATGAATTATCTAAATTTTTCAGACTTCCTTCCCCCATTCCTATGAGGTAAGGTTTCATAAACTGTCTCCCTTTGAGACTGCCTGACGGACTGCTATTTCTTTTACACATCACATACTTCACCAGGATTTCCCTTTTTTATTTTCCCAAAATATAAAAATAATAGAATGGCCAAAAAATAAAAATAAAAAAATAAAAAAAACAAAAAATAAACAAAATCAACAAGACTTAGAAATAGGTTATTGTGTCAAGTTAGGACCCTGATCCTTCTCATTCTCAGGAGGGATGGGGCAAGCCACTTAATAGCATGA